TCTTGCCTAATGGCTTGCAGGACTATATTGAATAGAATGGTGAGAGTGGACATCCTTGTCTGGTTCTGGATCTCAGTGGGAATGCTTCCAACTTTTCCCCATTCAATAAGATGATGACTGTGGGTTTGTCATAAATGGCCTTGATTTTTTGAGGATTGTCCCTTCTCTACCCAATTTACTTAAGGTTTTCATCATGAATGGATGTTGGATTTTATCCAATGCTTCCTCTGCCTCTGTTGAGATAATCACATGGTTTTTGTTTTTCAGTTGGTTAATATGATGTATCACATTGACTTGCAAATGTTGAACCATGCCTGCATACCAGAGGTAAATAATATAGATCCTAGGAAGCAGTGGTGATGGTGCAAGTGAGTTCCTGCCACCCACGTGGGAGATCTGAATTGAGATCTCACCTACTGGCTTTGGGCTGGGTCCAGCCTTGGCTGTAGCAGGCATTTGAGGAGTGAACCAATGATTAGGAGTGCCCACGCTCTCTTTCTCTTTCTCTTTTCTCTGGCTCTCTGCCTCCCAAGTGATCAACTTAAAACATTTTGTAAATGGCAGCACAGCTTAATGTATGTTCAATGGTTATGAAGCACACATATGCTACAACCCTGGCTGCTTAGCTGGGAAGAGATCTGAAGTTATCTCACGGAAATGGTTGCCCTCCCCCACGCAGTCATCTGCCAGCTTTCCTCTCCCATATAGGTAGTGGGCCTGAAAAGTACAAAAGTACAAAAAAGGGAGAGAAAAAGAAGAGAGAGGAAATACCATCCTAGGCTGAGAAGTAGGAAGGGAAATTAAAGGGAGGGGGAAGGCTTGGGACCACACAGCAGTGTGGCTTTTGCATAGGTGATTGCTTGTGCTTTCTGGTGAAGGGGTGCAAGGAGGAGTGTCTGAAATCAGAGGGGAAGTTGAGACATCAGATGGGGGTGGGTGTGGCTCACTGTCCTGGGCAGGGCTTCTGTGTGTGTGCATTTCATGCATTCCTATGCAGCTCACATCAGCTGGGTGCAGTTTTCTGTGCCTGTCTAGTGTTTCTCCAATACAAAATCCCTCACATGAGCAAATGTAAAGTTCACATGATACTTAAATTATCCCCTAATATACCACTCAAGAGGAATAGATTTGCATTTTCTTTTTTTAAAAATATTTATTTATTTATTTGAATGGCAGAGTTATAGAAAGAGAGAGAGAGAGAGAGAGAGAGAGAGAGAGAGAGAGGAGAGGCAGAGAGTAAGATCTTCCTTCTGTAATGTATGGAGCTGAACTATTCCAAAGCCAGGAGCCAGGAGTTTGTTCCATGTCTCCCACATGGGTGGAAGGGACCCAAGCACTTGGGCCATCTTCTGCTACTTTCCAGGCACATTAGCAGGGAGCTGGATTGGAAGTGGAGCAGCGGGTGCTTGACCCAGTGGCCATATGGGATGCCAGTGCCACAGGCTGTACCATAGCACTTGCCCCTGAATTTGTTTGTTTTTTTTTTATAAGATTTATTTATTTATTTATTTGAAAGGCAAAGTTACAGACAGAGGGAGGTCTTTCATCTGCTGGTTTACTCCCCAGATGGCTGTGACAGCAGGAGCTGTACCAATCAGTCCAAAGCCAAGGGAACCAGGAGCTTCTTCTAGGTTTCCCACATGGGTTTAGGGGCCCAAGTACTTGGGCCATCTTCCACTGCTTTCTCAGGCTATAGCAAAGAGCTGAATTGAAGTGAAGCAGCCTGTACATAAACCTGCGCCCATATGGGATGAAAGCACTGCCAATGGTGTTTTACCTATTTCCCTAAAGTTCTTGTCCCCTAAATTTGCATTTTCAAAACAAGCCTGAGAGCACAACTCATTGTACTTAAATTCAATGAAAAGGGCCTCAAACCTCAGCCTGCAGTACTGCACCCCATATGGGCCCGGCTTCTGGTCCCGGTTGCTTCTCTTCCAGTCCAGTTCTCTGCTGTGGCACAGGAAGGCAGTGGAGGATGGCCCAAGTTCTTGGGCTCTGAACCCACATGGGGAATCCAGAAGAAGCACCTGGCTCCTGGCTTCAGATCGGTTCAACACCTGCCTTTTTGGGAGTGAACCAATGGAAGAAGACCTTTCTCTCTCTCTCACTCTCTCTCTTTCACTGTTTATAACTCTACCTGTCCAAAAAAAAAGGTTCAGTGAAAAGACAACTGCAGGTTGTGCTTAAATTGTCCAACTATCATTGCCCACAATGATTCACATGGGAACCATCTCATTCTTGGCAGTCTTCTATTCAGTATGTACTATCTTCAAGGCTTTCCATCACCTGAGGCAGCAATGTAACTGTGCCTTAATGGTCTCAAACTTTCAAAAATCTAAAGCAGTGTCTGACTCTGGTAGATTGTCAGGAAGTACGAACATACTACTGTACATTCAGATCATGATGGCTTAATAGTCACTTCGTGCCAGCTCTATGCTAGGAGCAGGTCATGAATCACCTTATCTAATCCTCCCAACAATCCTTTGCTTGTCTGCATGAACAATCTGTACACATGATGAGATTATTGAGGCTTAGAAACTGGCCCCCATGTAGACAACCAGCAAACGGGGAGTCTGCCCTCAGCCAGGCCAGACTCCAGGGCTTTGCTGAGCTGGCAAAGCAGAGAACTGCTCTCTTGCATTTGCCAGGAAAATTCCATGGACCAATAGGAGTTTCAGCAGCTGTCTGAGTACCAAAAAGGGAGAGAATGTGTGAGAGGGGCGAGAGCATGCAGGCACAGACAACACAGCTTCAGAGACAGCTCTGATGTGGCACAGAGGGTGGGGTGCAGGTTTTGAACAAGGGGAGTCAGACCGGTGGGCATGAAAGGGCCAGCTCAGCTCAGGTCTCCCACATCCACCAGGCACAGGGGAGCCGTGGGGCTGCACTGAGTGCAGGTGAACCCAGAGAAGACACTCCATATGGAGCTGTCAGGACGGGCTGCAGCCAGGCGCAGACAGGGATGGGGTAGCAGCCAGGGCTGCTCCAGATGGCATGGGTTACAGTGAGGATTTGCTTCTGGGCAGGGGAGGGGACTCTGCAGTGTTGCAGTGCCTGGAGGGGGCAGCAAGAAAAGCCATCCCCTCTGACAACAGACTGCAGGCAGCAGTAGTCACCCCCCCCCCCAGGCAGTTAAACAGTAAGAGAGAGAGAGTTATAGACAGTGAGAGAGAGACAGAGAGAAAGGTCTTCCTTCCATTGGTTCACTCCCCCAATGGCCGCCATGGCCGGTGCTGTGCCCATCCGAAGCCAGAAGCCGGGTGCTTCCTCCCTGTCTACCATGTGGGTACAGGGACCCAAGCACTTGGATCATCTTCCACTGCCCCCGGGGCCACAGAGAGAGCTGGACTGGAAGAGGAGAAACCGGGACTAGGACCCGGCACCCCAACCGGGACTAGAACCCGGGGTGCTGGCGCCGCAGGGGAGGATTAGCCAAGTGAGCCACGGCTCCACCAGCATTAGTCACTTTTTAACAAGAAGGGGGAAAACTTAACGTAGTGGTTGAAAGTGGTGTCCCTGTTACATGTGGGTTACATTAAGGCTCCCAGCCGTGCAACCTTAGCAAAATGATTAAACCTTTCTGGGTCTCTGTGCCTCTGTACCCAGGGGTGGTGTCTGCAGCCTGGCCTTATTGAAATGTTCTCTCTGATGGCTAAAGCATCTATAAGAAAGAGGAAAGGTATTAGGAGTAGATCAAAAACCGCATGCTCAAGTAGTTCATTGGCTTTTTCCTCATGTTTTCAGCTGGTGCCAGACTCAGGTCCACAGAGTGCTCTACAGAATTTGCTGTTTACTGGGAGAATGATTACAAAGTAGGTTCCAGGTCTTTAATTGTAGCTGCTGACAGCAACATGGTTGTCCTGTTAACAGGTCTAACATCAGACACGTGTCCCATGCCAGCTGTCCCAGTGCCTCTTCCTGGCCATCCAAGGCAGCTTTGCCTTTTCGTCCTCCACGCACAAAACCTGGAGCCCAATTTTAACCTCAGTTGTTCTCCTAGCACAGGTCTGGCTCCTTCTTCCATCCCAATGCCTCTCTGACTCGTTCCTTTTCCACTTCCACCTCCTTCTTTCTCGTCCGTGCCCCTCCCACCCCTCACGGGTCTCTACAGACCTACACCTGTTTCTGCTTTCACCTTTGTGCCAAATGAATGATCAACCGATATTTAGGATACCACTTAAACCGCTTATCTCCCTTCCTGGAGACTTTTCAATAGCTCTTTTTCTGAGTGCTAGGGCGAGGTTGGATTCCTCCATTTGTCATTCCAGGCTTTCCTTGCACAATCCTTCCCCGGATTCTTTGCTGGGGGCGGTGCCTTGAACCCACCGCGTTTTCGCGATCCTTCTTCCCCTCCTGCTGGAAGGCCTGCTGTGCGTCCCACCACCAGTTTCCCTGACCTGCTGATTTTTCCCACTTGGGATCCCCACCCAGGCCAGCACGGAACTATCTAATGCACCCGTGACTTTGTCTCAAAGGGTGGGACCCTGCTTTATGTTTTGTTTTGGTTTTTTTACTTGAACCTCCCCAACAGAGAGCGGAGGCTCAGACACCCAAAAACTGTTGAACGGATGGATGGACGTGGGAAGGAACACGCTCCTGGCTGAGCCTCTTCTTCCCTCATTCGCAGCGCCCTAACCGGGTTTTGAATGTAGGCAAGCGAGCCCGACCCCCAGCGCAGCCGGCGGACCTGTGGTGGGCTCGGTTCCCGAATCCAGAGCACGTCCTCGTCACCCGCTCTGGCCCGAGGACAGCGCTGCAGAGTCCCGCGCTTCGCTCCCTCTCCGGGAGGCGCCGCTCTGTGGGAACCGGGTGGGCTGCGGCGTCGCGCGCTCCGACGCCCACTCCCCCATCCCCGCCCTGGCCGGGGCTGCGGGGACTTGGGGGTCGCCCCTCGCCCTCCCCCTTGTGGCCATTGGGCCGCTCCGCGTTGCGCGGGTGCACGGGGCGGGGCGGGGCCCTCCCCATCTCCCCTCGGCTCCCCTCCCCTATTTCCCGGGGTGGGGACGTCGGGAGGCGGAGGCGTGGAGGGGCTGCGGCGGGGCGTCCGGTTACATCTGGGTCTTCCGCACCCGGCGGCCGCAGAGCGCTGAGTTTGCGGGCTCGCAGTTGGGCAGCATGCGGGCTGCGTGGATGCGGGCGCTGCTGCTGCAGCTGCTGCTGGCGGGGCCTGGGGGCTGCCTGAGCCGCCAGGAGCTCTTCCCGTTCGGGCCGGGGCAGGGGGACCTGGAGCTGGAGGACGGGGACGACCTCGTCTCCCCGGCCCTGGAGCTGAGCGGGGCGCTCCACTTCTACGACAGATCCGATATCGACTCGGTCTACGTGAGTGCGACCCGGGGCGGGCGGTGTGGGGTAGCTGGAGGGAGGCCGCGGGGGGCAGGTCGGCGTCGGAAGGAAGGCGGGGCTCGCCGGGGGCGCCCGCGGAGCTGGACGGACGTGGGCGTAGCGGGCGCGACCGCGGACCGCTGGCAGCCCGCGCACAGGGCGCGGCGCTGGGTTTCCGCGCCCGCAAGGCTCCTGCCGAGGTCTCCGCAGCGCGCGGCCGGTGTCATCGAGGGGCTCGCTCTCCGGGTCTGCTGGGCCCCGGGCGCGCCCTGCCCTGACTCTGGTTCCCGGGCGCCCAGGACCCCGGGCGGAGTTTCCTGCCCTGCAACTGTGGGCTGCATCGCCACCGGGAAGTCGGTCTCCGCCTCGCCTTTGTCCCGCGCATTTGGGGCCAGGACCCGACCCAGCTCGAGTGGGACCGGTGCAGGCGGTCCGTAGAAGGGCCGGAGTTGAGGACCCCTGCGGGTCCCGGGCCAGGAGGGACGACCAAAGCAGGCCTTGTGTGTTCGTGTGCGTGTGCGTGAGTGTGTGTGCGTGTGTGTGTGGACACGCCGGATATGTCTTGGCAGTGATTCTGTTCTCCAGTCGGTCTGGACCTAGAGTCCAGAGTTCAGGGCTGAGAACGCAGGACGCCCTAGGGATCCAATTTCCTGTGGCTGAGCCTTGTCACCGTGGTGGTGGTGGGGGGGGAGAGCAGATGTGTGAGGAGGGGGGTCATGTGACCTTTAGCTCTCTGGAGCCTTGGTAGACCTGGCAGACCTGGGGGCGTTGTCACCTTGGTGAAATCCATCAGTACAGCCGCCTCCCCCCCCTTCTCCCACCCCCTGCCCCCGCTGCCATGTGGCTTTCATATAAGGTCTGCGCGCATTCGAGCAGTGCGGGGGCGGGGGGGGGGGCGTCCACACTGCCAGAGAGATGGCTGTGCTCCCAGCCGGCCTGCTGGCGACTCTTGAACAGCATTCACGTGGAGCCCTCCACTTAGCACCCACAAAGAGCCCTGGCCCACCTTTAGCTAGCCTGATGAAGCCTGAAGACCCTCTTTCACCTTAATGCTTTTGAATGTACAAAATAAAATCCACAAGATTGCCAAGGAAACCAGATGTATCGAAGACCCAATCAAAATATATTAAAAGGTGCAGGCTTTGGCTTAGCAGTTAAAAGGTATTAGTTAGGACACCCATGTCCCATATGGGAGTGCCTGGAGTCAGTCCAGCTGGGTTCCTGACTCAGTCCTTCTGCTATGGCAGACCCTGGGTGGCAGCTGTGGTGGCTCAAGGAATTGTGTTCCTGCATTGAGTTCCTAGCTCCTGGCAGTGGTTGCTAACATTTGGAGAGTGAACCAGCTGATCGGAGTCCCTCTGTGTCTTTTTAAAAAAAAAACAAAAACGTATTTATAGAGTACTAGGTGTGCTTCCTGTCCACCACATTGAGTAACAGGGTGTAGCAGTGGGTCCAGCAGTGGATCCTGTAACTGTTGACCTTTGAAGATCATGAGGACTGAGCAATTCAGAAACCACTGCAGCAAGTGTAGTGTGATACTGAAATACCCATGAGTTGTGTTAGCGACAAAACCAAGACTTGCTGCTGGATTGGTTTGTTGCCTACATCCATAACCGAAGGAAATGCTAAATGGTGAGTATTAAAGCATTAAATTTCTGGGGCTGCTACTGTGACATAGCTGGTAAAGCCAATGCCGTTATCCCCTTTGGTCCTGGTTTGAGTCCTGGCTGCTCCAATTTGGATCCACCTCCCTGTTAATAGCCTGGGAAAAGCAGTGGAAGATGGCCCAAGTACTTGGGCCCCTGCCGCTTACTTGGGAGACCCAAGTGAAACTTCTTGTTTCCATCTGGCTCAGCCCTGGCCCTTGTGGCCACTTGGAGTTGACCAGCAGATGGAAGATCTCTCCCTTTGTCGCTCCTTTTCTATCTCTGATTTTCAAATAAAATAAATCTTTAGCAAAAAATCCTTTTAACATCCTGGTTAACAGATCCATGAAATTCTTTTTTTGAACCACTATGGAGATCTTTGGACCCTTTGTTAATTTGGGACCTGCTGCCCTCTCCCTGTGGCATCAGCTAGCCACACTATAATATAAAGACCCAGAAAATCTGTCCCTACCAAAAGAGTTCTTTGAAAGCACCCTTCCAGTCTAGTTAGATTTAATTTGCATTTAGGAATCCCAGAGGTTCCCTTGGGCTTTGGATTTGTGCTGCAGGTTGGGTTCTCCAGGAAGCCGACTCTGAGCTGGAGATTAGCAGCAGGTTACTTCATTAGGGTGAGCACGCCAGATCTGCACCTGTGGAAAGGAGAGAACTGAAACACTGAGCAAAGGGAGAAAGCCAGGGTACAGTGCAGTCCCAGCAAAGGACTCTGCCTGCCGGGGGTGGGGGTGGGGAGCTCTGTAGCTATCTCAAGTCAGTGTGAGAAGGCTGGGCCCCTGAGCCCTGGCCTGGGTTAGTGACTCACTGGATAAGGACTCCCCTGGGTGGAGATGTGCCCTGAGGTGAGGTAGTTTTCTGTTTGTTTTTGTTTGTGCTGGAAGCCATCTTCAAAGAAGGCTAACAATTGAGGGCTGCACTCCCGAGGGGGTGAAGGGCAATCTGCTGACAGCTCAGTGTCCACCCCTACCTGTAGCTGTGTAGATGCTGTTTTGAGCTGATGGAAACCCTCACATGACTCAGAGAAAAGGCGCATTGCTAGGGAGTATGGGTAAGCACTGGGTGGTCTGTGCAGTCCAGCTGTTGGGAGAATGAAAGGCATACCCAGCAAGAAAGAAAAGTTACTCGTGGAGTAGACTTGCCTGTGTCTGGTGTTTAATCCTCAAAACACTCCCTCCCATCTCTTTTCAGATAAATTCTCTCCATCCCACTATGGGATGCACAGGTGTGTACCACCAGTTAAATGCCAAAGCTTGGAGTTCAACCCCAGTCTGTGTCTGACTCCTAGCTCTTTCAAGCACCCAGGCTAACACGTGGTAATAGACATGCGGAGTTGTTGGTAGGCAGAGTAGTGAGAGAAGACTTCACAGGCAGGTCCCTTTGAGTAGGCACAGAGGGAAAGGACAGACCATTGCAGGTGGAGAGAACCTCAGGAACAAATGCCCGAGGGTGGGAATAGGCATGGCATGTGCTGGGAAAGTGAGGAATCTGACTGGAGTGAGGGTCTCTCTTGGAACAGGAGGTTTCTGTCCAACTAGGCAGATGGGGTCAGAAGATAAAATGTGTGGTTAGATTGTGCCATGTAACAACCAACCTGGAAACCTCAGTGGCATATGACACTAATCACTGACTGCTGTCCTTTCTGGGGACAGCTGGTGGTGGACTGATCCAAGGTGGCCATCATGGGGCAGTTAGGATGATTTGGGTCTGCTGCACAGGGCACTCATCCTGTAGCAGTTCCTTCTGATTCCATAGCCACTAGCCAAGCTTAGCTACCTTAATTTAAATAATTGCAACTCAGTAATAAGGAATTTTCAGGCTTTCACTCACACTAGCCACGTACCACGTGCTCAGGAATGCCACGTGGCTCATGGCTACTGTATAGAACAGTGCTGCTATAGAACATTTCCATCACTGCTAAAATTTCCACTGGACAGCCCTGCGTTAGAGGGCCTGTGTCCTTTCCAGGGAGACACCAAAGGCCCAGGAAGCCGGCAGAAAGACCTCCATGCTTCTCAAGACTCTGCTGGGGCCTATCTACTACTGTCTCGTGGACTAAAGCAAGTTGTATGGCCAACCTCAGTCAATGGTGAGGCATGTCACCCCACCCATGGTGACAACAGGGATGAGTCAGGGTGCAGGGGAGAATTGGATCCAAGTGATGCATGTGCCACCTGGAAGGTCCCTGAAAGATGGCCAGGAGGTTGGCGGCTGGTGGTGTAGCTGCTCACAAAGCCTTCCCATCTTTAGTAAGGTAACTCTAGTTGCTTGCAAGGTGGTATGAACAAAGGGACAAGGTTGGGGGGGGTTGGAAGCAGGGAAGCCAGTCCCATAAGTTACTACTTTGCCCAGATACAAGGTGATGGGGGCCTTCAGAAAGGGGGCAAGGAGAGAAGAGGATGGAGCTGACAGGTGATCTGAGATGATTCGTAGGATTTCTGTGTGGTCACACCTGAGACATCAAGGAGAAGGCAGGCAGCATTGGGGTGACTGGGAGACTGACTTAAGTGAAAGGGCATGAGCCCAGATATGACACTGGCATTGGGGACCAACAAGGGGACCAGAAATTGGGGATGCTGTGTAGCCAGTAGACCCTTGAGTAAACAGAACATTCAGGCTTGGGAGGAAAGCAGAAGCCTTGAGGCACTGGTTTACAAGGGGAAACAGGAGAGTTAAACAAACAGCCAGATTTGGGGCCCTGGAAGACACTATGCTAACACTCTAACAAGACAGTTCTCAGTGCGGTCCCTGGGTGTCCTAAAGCCTTTTGCAAGGAATCGACAAGGTCAGAACTCTTTTTTCCTAAATACCATGTTGTTTGTGTTTTAGACTCCCATGCTCTCACACATAACACAGTGGAATTCACCCGAAGTTATGTGATGTGTGATGCTTATCATAACGGGTTGAATATAGAAGCAGATAGAGTCTAGCAGTCTTCCAGTAAGCCAGACACCACATTGATTTGCCAGAAATGTATAGCAGTTGGGCCGGTGCCGTGGCTCAATAGGCTAATCCTCCACCTTGCGGCGCCGGCACACCGGGTTCTAGTCCCGGTCGGGGCGCCGGATTCTGTCCCGGTTGCCCCTCTTCCAGGCCAGCTCTCTGCTATGGCCAGGGAGTGCAGTGGAGGATGGCCCAGGTGCTTGGGCCCTGCACCCCATGGGAGACCAGGAAAAGCACCTGGATCCTGGCTCCTGCCATCGGATCAGCGCGGTGCGCCGGCTGCAGCGGCGGCCATTGGAGGGTGAACCAACGGCAAAGGAAGACCTTTCTCTCTCTGTCTCTCTCTCTCACTGTCCACTCTGCCTGTCAAAAATAAAAAAAATAAAAAAAAAAAAG